GGCTCAGGCGGCTCTTGGTCCTTCAGGGTGTGAGGAGCTGGGCCAGTGCTGGAGGAAATTCATCATTTCCCTCGTCCTTGTGCTGGTGGGGCCGCGGGCTCAGGAAGGGCCAAGCCCTAACGTGGGTTTTGCTCCTGTCTGGCCGGTGCAAAGTCGCTGGGGCTGGAGGCCCCGAGGAAGCGCCTGCGGGAGGAGGAGGAGGAGGAGGAGGAGAGGGTGGAGGGAGATTTCCAAGCACGGGGGAAGTGGGAATTTCCTGCCCTCCGCACAGCCTCACCCCTGGGGATGTGAAACACTGTTAGCAAAGCACAGAGAAGGACGCGCTGTCCTGGCGAGGGAAGGACGGGCGCCTCCGCGGGGTCACTTGTCACATCCCTCTGTGCCCTGAGCTGAGCGAGGTCTGGGTGACCCGGGCGATGCCATGCGGGGTGCACAGGGTGCCCGGGGCTTTTCCGGGGAGGAGGACCTGGCAGTCGAAGCGCTGCCCTTGGCTGTATCTCTTGCCTGGCTGTATCTCTTGCCTCGCCTGGCAAAGGGAAGGGCATCGCCCTCCCTGGATGCGACCAAGCCAGGCTCAGCCCCACACCTACCGGGAGGGCGGCAGGGGCTCATGGAGGGTGGGCGCGGGTGGCAGAGATGGGGGTCGGGATCTTTTTCGGTCACTCGCCGCCGGTTCCTCCGTGACTCACATCCTTCACCACAGCGGCCGCTCTCATGCCCTGCCCCAGCGGGGTGACCACCAGCCGCGGCCAGGGGCTGCCCCCCAACGCGTCCCCCGTCAGGTTGGGGTCACGCTGGCTTCCTCCCCGCTGGCCCCCCCACCTTTCCTCGCTGCCCCCGGCTCTCCTGAGGGCCACGATGTGAAGGTGGCCGGGGCGGGCTCCACGCCTGCGGGGCGTCCCTCGGGGGGGGCGGGGACACCGCGGCGCCCGCGGGCCCTGCGTCAGCATCGCCGCGAGCTTCAAAACCCGGCGCCGAGGCGGCCGGGGAGGAAGTGGGAGCCGAGCCCGGCACCATGTCGGAGCTGGAGCAGCTACAGCAGCGCGACATCCCGGCGGGGCGGCAGGTCCTGCGCGACCACCACTGCAACCTCCATAGGGTTGCTGACTACTGCGAGAGCAACTACCTGCAGGTGAGGGGGACGGGGACGGCTGGGGACATCGCGGGACGAGCTGCGGCTTTGGGGCTGGGCACGATGCTGGAGACAGCCGGGAGCCCTGGTGAGGTGGTGGTCCCGGAGGGGCGGCTGGTGGGTGACGGGGAAGGCTCTACCCTTGGAGACGGGAGCCTGAGCACCCCTGTTAGCTTCCTACTGAGAACTGCATGCCGCTGTCTCTATTTTTTTTTTCTCGTGCCTCAGTTTCCCCTCTTGCTCCACAGCAGCTTTTCTGCTCAGTTCTCGGGGTGGGGTTTGGGACGAAGGGAGAGTCTTCCGGGGGTTTGGTGCCTCCAGAGAAGCCCTGGGAGGGGACCAGGGACACCAGCCCCGCCTGGGCTGTCCCCACAGGCTGTCCCCAGGGTTTCGGAGGTGCCTCCTGGCAGGGCAGAGGAGAGCTGGGTTGCCCGCACGTGCAGAGCAAGCGTGAAGCTCTGCAGCCGTCGGTGTCCCTCCTCCTCCTCTCTGCCTGGCCCCCCCTGTGACCTGCTGAGGGAAGGAGGGGGCAGGAGTTTTTGGGATGAAATAGGAGAAAAAAAAAAAGAGTTCTGGCCCTGTTTGCTGGGGAGGGTGTCTTGGCCGGGGGGGTCCCCGGGTGCTTTGCAAAGCCCATCTCGGTGGCCTTGTTTGCCCGTGCCGGACCCCGAGGCTGCTCCCAATGAGCTGGCGGTGCCGACCCACTGGAGCGGAGCTGAAGGGGAAACGTGCTGAACTCTTCAGAGAACTGAGACGCCATCGCCAGCGCGGCTGGTGGCGTGGCTGGCTGTCCCCGCGCATGGCTGGCTGGTGGCATGGCCAGATGTCCCCAAGGGTGGCAGGAGGCTGAGCCGGCCATTCGGCTCCGGCACCTGCCGAAACGGCAGCATCCCGGGGAGGAATCGGGGTGAATTCCCAGTGCCGGAAAAGCCAAGTGCCGCTGCCTGATGGGTGTCCGTGTGTCCCGCCGGTGGAGCCAGAGGAAGTTTGATGCATTTGGAAAGCAGAAGGAAGCATCTTCGCTACCGTGTGACTCCAGCGTGAAGATGGAGGGCAGCGGTGGCCGCACGGGGTGGGCTCGTCCCACCGGCTGGGTTTCCCCCCCCCCAGGCGAGCGACAAGCGGAAGGCGCTGGAGGAGACGATGGCGCTGAGCACGCAGTCCCTGGCCAGCGTGACGTACCAGATCAGCAGCCTGGCCACCGCCTTCCTCCGGCTACTGGACCTGCAGGCGGCCGAGCTGCGGAAGGTGGAGGCCGACGTCGGCTGCGTGGCCCAGGTGGGACCGTCCTCCGACCGGTGCTGATGCGTTTTGGGGTTTGGGTGCTGAGAAGGGGGTGGGCTCTGGGAAAGGGAGTTTGGGCAGCTCGAGGGGGCTGAAGACCCTCCTTCCCCATGGCTTGAAGAGCCCGTCAGCCCTCCCCTTAGCATCACCTTGCAGTGAAAGTGCAAGACCATCTCCTTGGGTGGTGGTGGAGGGCACCCAACGGGGGGGGGGGGGGGCGAGTCCACCTGGGGCTGGGAAGCTGGCCTCCGGGGTGTTCTCCCAGTCTGGGCACTTGCAAATCCCAGAGGAGAGGACCGTAGGAACTGCCTGGGAAACCTCAGAGGAATCAAAGCGGAATGACGGGGCTCGGAGCGTTGGCTTCACTGCAACACTCTCCCCTTGCTGGAGCCTGGCCTCATCCTCCCAGAGCTTAGGGATGCCGATGCAGAGTCCCGTGGCCCCCCACCTCTTCCCGGCACTTGGAAGCTGCCTGGAGCCTTTCCAGCCATGGGAGGAGACAGGACCCTGTGGTCATGCTGGAAGCAGCAGGAAAACAACTTATGGGTGGCCGAGGCTCATGCATCCCCCCCGCCGCTGCCCTCCCTGTCCCCCCCGTCCCCTGCTTTAGGAATGGCCAGATCCGCTGCGGTGGCATCAAGGGCATCACTCGCCCTGCTGTGATGGAGCGGAGCAGGGCCTGCCCCTGCGACTTTGGCCAGGCCGGGGGGTTCAGGCTTGATCCTGATCCTTTCCTGCGACCCCTTCCCTTACAGGCGGGGAGATGGGGCTAGGAAGGGTGGTGGGACTTGGAGGTGGCAGCAGGAGATGAGGAGAACCCGGGATGGGACGGTGGGGACAGTGCCATCTCCGCAGAGGGTTGACATGCACAAGGAGAAGGTGTCTCGCCGGGAGATCGGCTCGTTGACCGTCAGCAAGAGGTTCCCGTCCTACCAGAAGATCATGTCCCCCCCCAGCCTGCCCTGCCTGGAGCCCTACTACAGGAAACCCCTCAACTTCAGCGTCCTGGACAACATCGGCCACGGCATAAAGGTCAGCCCAGGGCTAGGAGGATGTCCCACAGGGGTGAGGGGGCTTGGATGGGCTTTCTCGGTCCCCGATGTCCCCAGCGTTGCACTGATGGGCTCAAACCCCTCCTCGATGGAGAAGCGGGGTCTGTCTGTGCCCCGCAGCCCACTCCGGGACTCACCTTGCTGGGGCTCGGTGGTCCCAGCTTGGGGGAGGGGGGACACGGTCCAATACAGCAAAGGGAAACTGAGGCACTCAACGCTCAGCAAAGGCCATCAGCGCCACTGGGGCCGGTGCTGAGCCGCAATGCTGTCACCCCCACGGTGCCTTTCCCAGCACCAAAACCGCCCGCACAGGAAGGCGCCCGCGGGGGGAGAGGTTTCGGCAGCCTCGCAGGCGCGAGCCCCTGGCGAAGCCACTGGGGGGCCAGAGGGGAA